CCAAACAGAGACATGCCAGGGAATTTCTGGAGGGCTGGTATTCCAACCGGAACTCCATTAACAAACATATTGAATTAGATCCCGTGTACAAACCACTGAGAAACAAAACTGGAAGTAATACCAACCACCCCAGCAAACCGAGGCACATAAACAACAAGTGGGACAGAACACCGATGCTTCACCGGAGGCACGCTGACAATGTTACCTAGCAGGGTGACGAAACATTCGCGACCAAATCCACTGGCGCAGTGAGCACGTCTACAACCTCAGTCAATTAGGATATCTGGTCGGCAAGGACGAGTTGGACTGAAAGGTTTGTTTCCATGCTGTACAGCTCTATGACTTTATGTGCAGCTCCAAAATAACCTCTCTTCTCTTATAACCCACGCCACTACTGATAAAGGCAAGTGTCCCATATGCCTTCTTAAGTACCCTATTAACCGGTCTTGCCACCTTCACGGATCTGTGGACAAGCACCCCAAGAACTCTGTTCCTCTGAACTTCCTAGTATCCTGCTATTCATTGAATACTCCTTTGTCTTGTTACACCTTCAAAGTGTTCACACTTAACAGGGTTAAACTCTACTAGCCTCTGATCTACCAAGGTGTCCAATCTGTCTATATCATCCTGTACCCTTCTTCCTCACTGTCAACCACCCGGCTAATCTCGTGTTATCTGCAAACAAAATACGAGGCAGTCCTCTGTCGAGGCCATTGCTGCAACCTTCCTTTGGATTGATGTTGGAAATGGAACGTATTCAGCATAAAGAAAGGCCCAGTACATCGAACAGTATTGCAACTTCAGTAACAAGAAATATTTACCTTTTATTTATTATGCTCCCTTTGTGGGAGAGTCTAGGAATAGAGCGCATAACCTCAGAATAAGGGGTTGATCATTTAAGACAGAGATGAGGAGGAATTTCATCTCTGAGCGAGTGGTGAATCTATGATCAGTAAGGGAATGGAGGGTTACGGGGAAAAGACAGGAACGTCGAGTTGTGTAGATGGCCTGTGGTCAGGGTAGAGCAGCATGATTACTCCTCCTTCCTCTGCTCTTCTGACGGCTGTTCAAGAGTCGGAGGTGGAGAGAGACTCTTGTTTTTGATAACAAGGTGCTATTCTGTCTCATTGACTACCTACAAGTCACATTAACTGTGACTACGAGGAGACAAAGAAGGTAAGTGTGCATCCATGAGGAGGCAGCACTAGGCTCTCACTAACTGATGCTGCAGCCAGAAATAATGAGACATCACACTGCAGCTCAAACATCAACTCCCTTTAAGGAGCGTCAACTTGTACAACAAATGCAGCAAGTTGCCTCTTAGCGCCAGACACCCAGGTTTGATTCCAGCCTTGGGCGACCGTCTGTGTGGAGTCTGCACATTCTCCGTGTCTGCATGGGTTTCCTCCGGGTGCTCTGGTTTCCTTCCCACAGTGTAGAGTTGGGTGGATTTGCCATGCTAAATTGCCCACACCGTCTACAGTGGGAAATGCAGGGATAGTGTAGGGGGTGAGTCTGGGTGGGATGTCTTCAGGAGAGTCGGTGTGGAACCGTTGGGCCAAATGGCCTGCTTCCACACTGTAGGGATTCTATGGTTCTTCTATGAAATGCACATGTGCGAACACCAGCCCCTGCAGAATTAAACCATGTGTCAGACAAATGGCTTTTACCTAAAATGGGCCATGTGGTAGAACATAGGCTGTTTGTAGAAGGTATCCTGATGACTGTTCACAATGACCGGACTGTCAGCAAAGTTTTTCACCCAGTTCGGGCCACCTTGCAAGTTCAACGCAATGTTCCAGTCTGTCCAACCAGTTACATGATTATTCAGATTCTGCAACATGTGGCAGAAACAACACCAAGATTAACATTCACTGACAAATATATAACAAAGGAGCAGCACGTGGTTATTTGGGCCTTCAAACGTACTCTACACCCAACAGGATCACAACTGACAAAAGCAGAAATTGCTGGAAAAACTCAGCAGGTCTGGCAGCATCTGTGGAGAGGAAGCAGAGTTAACATTTCAGGTCCAGTGACTCTTCTTCAAAACTGATTGTAGCTAGGAAAAGGTTGGTATATATGCTGAAGATGGGGTGAGGAAGGGGGGGAGAAGTAAATGATAGGTGGTGATGGAGCCCAGAGAAAGAGAAAAAAATCAGTTGGACAGACGAAGGAATAAGTAAAAGTCAGCCAGGAAGAATCAATATCAGGTAATGAGGACCATTTGTGACAAGGTCTAGCACGGGGAATTGGTAAAGTCATGGGAGAAGGCACTCAGGCCCCAAAATTATTGAACTCAATATTGAGTCCTACGAAGACTGCAGGGTTACCTAGTGGAAAATGAGATGATGTTCTACCAGCTTGCAGTGAAAGTGAACTTCTCTGGAGCACTGCAGCAAGCTGAAGACAGAGAGGTCGGACAGGGAACACAGTGGTGTGTTGAAATGGCAAGTAACGGGAAATTCAGGATCAATTTTTGTGGAAAGAATATAGATGTTCCACAAAGCGGTCACCCATCTCCCATTGTAGAGCAGATTACATTCTGAGCAGCAAATACAGTAGCCCAGATTGCGTGAAGGTCAGGTAACACGCTGCTTCACATGGAAGTTGTGTCTGGGACCTTGGGCAGTGAGATGAAGTACACGGGCAGGTGTTGCACCTTAAAAGGTACACTGGAGGTGTTGGGAGTGGAGGAGAAGCAGACCCAGAGGGAACAGTCCCTGTGGAAGACGAGACAAAGGCGGGAGGGGGAATAGGTGTCTGGTGGTGGCATCCCGCTGGAGGTGGCAGAAATGGCAAATAATGATCCTTTCGATGTGTGGTGGGGTGGTAAGTGAGGATCAGAAGAACATTACTTCCATTCTGGGAGAGAGAAGGGTGAGTGCACCAAAGTGCGGGAGATTGGTCGGACATGACTGAGGGCCTTGTCAAATATGGTGATAGGGAATCTTTAGTTGAGGAAAGAGGTAGACATTTTGGAGGCTCCCTTGTAGAACATAGAACTGTACAACACAGGAACGGGCCCTTCAGCCTATGATGTTGTGCCAAACATGAAGCCAAACTAAACTAATCCCTTCTACCTGCCATTGGTCCATATCCCTCCTTGCAATTCATGTGCTTATCTAAAAGTCCCCTAAATGGCCCATTGTATCTGCCTCCACCACCACCCTGGCAGTGTGTTCCAGACTCCTACCACATGCTGTTTAAAAAAAAAAAAAAAATTTGCCCCTCACATCTCCTTTGAACTTCCCCCTTCAAACCTGAAATGCATGCCCTCACTAGTATTAGACACTTCAACTCTGGGAGAAAGATTCTGACCATCAACTATCTATGCATCTCATAACTTTGTAAACTTCTATCAAGTCTCCACTCAGCCTCTGCCACTCCAGAGAAAACAACCCAGATTTTTCTAGCCTCTCCTACAGCTCATACCCTCTAATCCAGGCAGCATCTTGGGGAGGCAATGGCCTAGTGGTATTATCACTAGACTGTTAATCCAGAGACCCAGATAACATTCTGGGGACCCAGGTTCGAATCCCGCCATGACAGATAGTGGAATTTGAATTCAATAAAATATCTGGAATTAAGAATCCAATGATGACCGTGAATCCATTGCCATCTGGTTCACTAATGCCCAGTAGGGAAGGAAACTGCCATCCTTACCTGGTCTGGCCTACATGTGACTCCAGACCCACAGCAATTTGGTTGACTCTGAACTGTTCCCTGGGCAATAAATGCTGCCTAGCCAGTGATGCCCTCATCCTGTTAATAAATAAAAAAAAAAACCTCTTTTGCATCCTCTCCAAAGCCTCCACATCCTTCCTGTAATGTGGCAATCAGAACTGAACACAATACTCCAAGCGTGGCCTAAACAAAGTCTTATAAAGCTGTAACATGACATCCTGACTCTTGTACTCAATTCCCCAACCTATAAATACATGCATGGCATAGGTGGTAGAGAAGGCATATCTACTTGCATGGCTACTTTTAGGGAGCTATGGATTTGAACCCCAAGATCCTTCTGTACATCAATGCTGTTCAGAGTCCTGCCATTAACTGTATACTTTTCCTTAACATTTGGTCTCCCAAAGTGCAGCAACTCGCACTTGCCCAGAATAAATTCCATCTGCCATTTCTCCACCCATATCTGCAACTGATCTGTATCCCGCTGTATCCTTTGACAACCTTCGACACTATCCACAACTCCACCAATCTTTGTTTCGTCTGCAAACTTACTAACCTATCCATCTACATTTTCATCCAAGTCATTTATAAATATCACAAATAGACGTCCCAGTACAGATCTCTGTGGAACACCACTAGTCAGGGACCTATAGACTGAGAAACAACTTTCCACCAGTACCCTCTGTCTTCTATGGGCAAGCCAATTCTGAATCCACGTAGCCAAGTCATTATGCATCCCATGTATCTTAATCTTCTGGATGAGCCTACCATGAGGGACCTTGTCAAAAGCCTTACTAAAATCCATGTAAACAACATCCACTGCTGTATCCTCATCAATCACCTCGTCACCTCGAAAAATTCAATGAAGTTAGTAAGACATGACCTAGCCTGAGAGTACAGCAGTGGATGTTGTTTACATGGATTTTAGTAAGGCTTTCGACAAGGTCCCTCATGGTAGGCTCATCCAGAAGATTAATATGCATGGGATCCACGGTGACTTGGCCATGTGGATTCAGAATTAACTTGCTCATAGAAGACAGAGGGTATTGGTGGAAGGGTGTTTTTCAGGCTGGAGGTCCGTGACTGGTGGTGTTCCACAGAGATCTGTACTGGGGCCTCTGCTGTTTGTGATAATATATAAATGACTTGGATGAAAACGTAGATGGATGGGTTAGTAAGTTTGCAGACGACACAAAGAGTGGTGGATAGTGTAGAAGGTTATCAAAAGACACAGCGGGATATACAGCAGTTGCAGATATAAGCAGAGAAATGGCAGATGGAGTTTAATCCGGGTAAGTGAGAGTTAATGGTAGGTGTCTGAACAGCATTGTTCACAGAAGGATCCTAGCGTTCAAGTTCACAGCTCCCTGAAAGTAGCCACACAAGTAGATAGGATGGTAAAGAAGTTGAATTGCATGCTTGCCTTTAAAGGTCAGGGAACTGAGTGCAAGAGTCAGCATGTCAAGTTACAGCTTTAAAAGAATTTGGTTAGGCCACATTTAGAGTATTGCGTTCAGTTCTGGTCACCACATTACAGGAAGGATGTGGAGGCTTTGGAGAGGGTGCAGAAGAGGTTTACCAGAATGCTGCCTGGAATAGAAAAACTTGGGTTGTTTTCCCTTGAGTGACAGTGGCTGAGCGGAGACTTGACAGAACTCTATAAATTTACATGGTGCATAGATAGGGTTGAAGGTCAGAATCTTTTCTCCCCCAAGAGTTGAAATGTTTAATACTTAAGGTGAGGGGGGGCAAACTCAAAGGAGACGTGAGGGACAAGTTTTTTTTTTTAAGAGTGGTGGGAGTCTGGAACGCACTGCCGGGCTGGTGGTGGAGGCAGATATGATAAGGGTATTTAAGGAACTTTTAGATAAGTACATGAATATGCAAAAACGAAGGGATATGGACCAATGGCAGGCAGAAGGGATTAGTTTCATTTGGCATCATGTTCGACACAACATCATGGGTCAAAGGGCCTGTTCCTGTGCTGAACGGTTCTATGTTCTAACACTCCCTAGTTCCTGCCTAATGCTGACATAATTTTCCCTCCCCCAATTTAGTACCTTCCTGCAAGGTCCTGACTTATCCTTGTTTCACAGCTATCTTAAAACTTAAGGAGTTGTGATCACTGCTTTCAAAATGCTCTTCCAGGTCAGTCACCTGGCCAGGCTTATTAGCCAATACAAGGTCTCGTATGACCCCTCCTCTAGTTGGGCTATCCACATACTGTGTCAAGAAACCCTCTTGGATGCACTTAAATTCCACTCTGTCTAAGCCTCTTGCTCTCAGTGAGTCCCAGTCAATACTGGGGAAGTTAAAATCACCCATTATAACAACTCTGTTTTTACTGAACCGTGCCATAGTCTGCCTACATATTTGTTCCTCAATCTCTCAGTGGCTGTCGGG